CTAAATTCTTGAAAAAAAGATTCTTCAGCTAAAGCAGTTTTAAGTCCGAAGTCATCGAATCTTTTTTGGTTTATGTCCATTTCAAGAAATCGCACATAACTAAATTCTTTTAAAGTAGAAAACTTGGGCCAAGGTTTTTTAAGTATGATGTGCCAATAATTGCGTGCAAATTGTTGCGCATTATTTCCACCAAGACAACACATGCTCAAAGGAAGATGGAGCCAACAATTTAACCATTTTTGGTGTAATTCGAGCCCTTTCTATATTCCATTTTCCAACTTTTGGACCAATAATTCAATTTTTGAATTATCCAAAATTTCTGTACTTTGTAAAAGTTCGCCTCCAAAAAATGAGAAAGATTTTTTACGATGTTTGCGAGTTTACATGTTGAATTAATGATAAAGTCCGGCATTTGATATGCTCGATGACCTGAAGATAAACATTGTAATGAATTATCAGGCTGTAAAACTTTTAATTGGGGATCATAACTGACGAGAAATTCTGCAAAAGGACAATAAAATTCTTGACCGAACTTAACTAAACATTGAACTTCAATATTTAGTTCAAAATCGTTTAACCAATTTTGAAAAAGTTCCCACTTTTGAATATAGGAATTTGGAACTTTTTTAAAATTTTAAGTTTTGGAAGGAACCACGAAACAAATTCAAGATGAATTTCACATCTCTCAAGGTATTGTTCTGCCGCAATTAATTTATATTGCCACCACGATCGTAGTGGATATTGATATTTAGTTAATGTGTAATTAAGCCATGCCTTATAAAGACTTTGAATTGTTTCACTTTTCATATTTAGCGGCGAGTCCTTGTCACTTTGATCATACCTGTTGTGCAATATCCATGTCAGGTAAAGAAGATTAAATAGATGGCATGTCTTTGAGAATCTGGTATTTGTTAGAAGTTTACCGAAGGCCGTCTCTTTAAAATTATTTAAAACTAAATGTAATATGTGCAATCCACAGGGAATTCGAACACAATTACTTTTGGCCAATTTATTAAATTTTGCTATAGCGCCTCCGGTATGGCCACTCATATAATTGGTATTATCAGAAAGAAAGATAAGACATCTTCTAGTATCAAGGTTATATTTTTTACAAGATTCAAAAAGAGCCTGACTAACTGTGTCAGAGTTGCAGTGTTGAAGGTCCTTTGTTTCTAAGAGTACGACATCGGGTATATTTTTTTCTGAATTCCAAAATATAAAACATTCTACTAATATTTTTTTTTCACCCCGACCTGACTCATCTGCCATGATTCCAAATGAAAAATGAGATGATTGATTAGCTTGCTGAAATGCATTTCTTATATACAGTTCTGACACTTCGCGATGCCAATGGCTGACAGTATTTACACCAAGCGACTGGGTATCATCCTCTGTTAAAAAATTAAAAACTATCTTTATACTTTCTGCTGCAATATTAAAAGACATTTGGCTAATTTGAGAAACTTGTATGGTAAGATTAATAAAATCTTTGTTATACTCCTTTTTATTTTGTTTTATTAAATTATTAATTATAGTTTTTAAATCATTGCCTTTTAATTCTGGTGAACATTTGGTTATTGCACGAATTTGAGATATATGATGGTGATGTTTACGCTTAAACTGCATGATAGAACTGCTAAGTTGTCTAACTTTATAGGTCGCACAATCTTTAGATTGTTGTAGTTTTTTATTTTCTTTTTTAAGTTGTTTGTTTTTATCATTTAATGCTTCTAATGACTTTCTGGGCTTATAAAGAGAATTGGAGATATATTGAATTGCTTTGTTTTGTATATAGAGTGATATGATTTGATCTTTATTTTTTCCATGCAAATATCTCATTGTGCGCAAAAGATGCGATGTCAATTTGAGATCTGTCTTTGACATGTCTTTAAGAGTATTAACTACTGTATTATATGCTTTAGAAGAATCAGGTGTAATATTCGAATCATTAAAGATCGTATCATGGATTATTTTAAGTTCTTGATCAGTGGTTTTTTTTAAGTAATCTGTTATTTCATCAATAGTTTCTTGATGCTGATTTAGTTTGCACTTTTTGTCAAGCAATTCACGTGCATGTTTAAGATGAAGTTGACATTTTGAAGGGTTAGGCATTGTGCAAAAAGAATTTGATATGAAAAGGTACAATTTACAAAAATTTTTGAAATTCGCTTTGACGCGCTATTTAAAAAGCCAATTTGAAACAATTACTTATTTTTTTAACAAATTGACAATATTATAAACAATTACAAAAGTAACAAACGCAATTACAAAAGTCAATTCTAACAAATGCAATTACAAAGGCCAATTCATAACAAGCACAATTACAAAAGTCAATTCGTGACAAATGCTTATTTTTTGTTTTGTTAAATGTATTGTTATATGTATTTTCAGCAAAAATCATACTTTAAAAGGGTTCAGCACTAAAACTAGCCCGAATTTTTTAACAAAATTCGATATATAATATAATAATAAGCCTTATTTTAAACTATAGAGCAAGATTTTTAGTAACAAAGGCCAAATCATCAACAAACATAATTATTTCTAGTTAAAAACATTGAATAAGAACAAAAAACAAATTTTCGCTAATAAAATGCTTAAAAATGTCTAATTGACTAAAAATTTTAAACTATAGCTTGTTTTATTTACACTTTAAGAGTTGTCTGTTACAAAAATTACAGTAAAAAAATAGATTTTACGTGAGGTAAACTGATTTTTTGAGTACTAATCTTTCATTAATAAATTTTTGTGATTTTGCCGATCAATTTTTATGCATAAAATCTAACTAAAATATTATTGTTAATGCACCTCACATGGTTTTGATTAATTAGCATATGGAAAACCCCAATAATACAAGTAACTTGAATGGTTTGTACCACATTTCTGCAGAATCTTAGTGTTGTGGTCTAAATTTTATGTGGTATCACTCTCTTGCAGAATCATTTCTCATAGTCAATTTTTGTTAACAGCTACTAAACGAATAATAACTAAAAGCTTTATTATACATGATCTTATGATAAGAAAAGAGATGAATGGAGCTTAAAAGGGCTATAAGAGGGAAGAGTACAACATTATTTATTAGTAGTTTTATCCAAATTCATATGTTACAGGAACTTCAAATCTCCACAATCTCTGAGATCGTTAACTTTTTTTTCATCACAGAAGAGATCATTGATTATAAGAGGGCTAATTTTACCAGAAAAGTGACAAAATAGATTCAGTATTTGGAACTTATGACCAAATAGACTTGCTTTTCATGGTGGGATCTAGATTGCATTACCCTACCGCAATTACTAATCATGTAACTTTTTTTCTGCCAGGTTTTTTAGATCTAGCGAATGGATTGTATAAATAAGCAAGTTTCCACCTTAAGATAAGTTAGCAATAACATTATTTTTTGCTCATATATATATTTACTTGGTTCACTCATCCATAATTTATTTTTTAAGTAATTTGATATTTCATTTAATGGAGACTATGAAAACGAATTTTTGCTTACTTTGTTTTTTGTATTTAGGTATGAAAAATGAGCATTAACAATAGTACCACCTCCAAGACTAATAATACCTCTAAGACCAATGATAACACTACTTCCAAGACCAATGATAGTAATGCCCCAAGACTAATGACTCCAATTCAGAAAGCGATCAAAAAAAGCTATCTGGTGTGGGCATAATTCTTGATTATCAAATTCTATTTAATTATCTGGATATCAATCCTATAATATTTTCAAAAATAATAAAACCTTATAGTTTCTATAGCTTTTGATTTTTTATTTGTATTTGTATTATTTTATTTGTATGTTCCCATTTTGGCAAAAAAAAATTTTATTAAATAAAGAAGGAGGGTTCTGTAGCCTTCCCATGTTTTATTTTTACGTAATTTTGACCCTTTAGGATCACCCCTTTAGGGCCTGCAATGCAGTATTGTAGCACAGTAATATGTTATTTCTCTGAAATACTTCTATGTTGATTCTACCCATAATAATTTTCTAGATTAAAGATTACTTAGTTCTAACTGGCTTATTTCTACGATGTTTTCGGCTAGAAGAGATATTCTTTTTCTTTGTAATATAGATGCATTTCTTTCAGGTTTTTTTTAGATCAAGATCGTACTAGTCTGAACCCATGAATTCTGAATCAGAACTGGATAAATTAGTCTCTATAGATAATTTCTTAAATATATCTATAAACTTTTCTAAATTAAGATCAGGTTTATCAATTTCTGTTTCAGAATGAGATAAGTTATTTTTACTAGAGCTAGCTTTATTACTATTTACTTCGATTAATAGGATACTCATACTATCAATTACAATTTTAGCATGGTGTACACAGGTTTTGGAAGAATATCCAAAGCTTATTTTTGCTTCACGTATCCATAACCAATCTTGCCCCAACACCAAATCAAATGATGGATTTTTGTGAATTTGAAAGTCTATTAGTTCAGTATCACCTAAACTTTGCCACTTTCTTTTAATACGAAACTGTAAATCTAAGCCTTTTATTTCTTTGTCTATCAGATCATCACCAACTATACCTTCTAATCCGTGATCAGATTCAAGCTTATCGAATAAGTGTTTGCTAATAGTATTATATTTAGATGTTGTATCAATTAACACTTTTAC